CCTGCAACCAAGGTACATGCCCTTGACTGGAATCGAACCTGGGACCTTTCAGTCTGCAGGCTGACGTTCTATCCACTGAGCCAAACCAGTCAGGCGAACTCAGTGTTCTTTCCATGAACACTCTCCCAGGTGGAAGCCAAGAATGAGAAATGGGATAAGATCTAGGGAGTTTAGGGAGTGAAGTCATTTTGGGAAGTGAGAAGAAGGGAAAAATCAAAAGGCTGGAACTCAGCCTCCACTATGCCTAAAATAAGGCTCTTATTAGTGACAGGATTAGTATTACTAATTTTTTCCTTTTGCCTCAGACTATATCATGGTTTAATTGATCCAATCTTTTTCCTAAAAGTTTGGTATTTTGTTCATCATACTTGATTTTTATCTTTTTCAAAAATGCTGTAAAAATATTACTAATCTTTATTACTAAGGCTTTTGGCACACCCTTATATTTTTTACCTGCTCATTTCAGTCCTGGGTTTTCAAAGGAGAGTGAAAATGATGCAAGAATAGGACCAAAAACTGATTTCAGAGTTTGGAAGGAACTGAGCCAAGAAAGAAGGGATCAAAATTTATAATCGTTCTTTGGTCTATCACTCCATCTGCTCTACTTTACTGACTCGCCCCATAGCCCCAAGTTAGGGTGGCGCCATTACCTCTGATCTTGGTTAAACTATGTAAAATCTCTTTTCTTTTGTATTCTGAAAATATTAGCTATTACAAAGATCTTTTAATAGAAAAATAATAAAACACCAAATCATAAAGTTGGTTAAGTTTAAAGTACACATATTAGACACGCCTCTGATCTATGGCTCCACCTTGCCAGTGAGTAAAATATGATTCCATTGTCATGGACTTACTCTGTTATGCCACTTTCAGCATACAAACCACTGGTTGTTGAGTTTTTATAGATTTTGAGAATCTTTGCCCTTACTCTGATAATCTAGAATTAAGTTAAAAATCTTCTGTGGCAGGATACATAATAAGGCTGTTCAGTCTAAAATGCTTTAATTAAAAGGAACAAAGAGTGGAATACAAATAAGTGTCAGGGAACATCTCTATCATGCTGTGCTCAATACTCTGAACATTTCTTATACAAACTAAGGACAACTAGACACTCAAATCACTGAGTTTTGTGTGTTTTTTTAATATACACTGAGTGGCCAGATTATTGTGACCAGCCAGATTATTATGACCACCCCATCACAATGAAGTGAATTAGTTATGCAAATAATAATAATAATAATAATAATACCTTGAGAGTATTTGCTTAAGAAGTTTTCAATATTCAGTATTTTTGGAAGTGTCAATGAAGTACTGATGGGGTGGTCATAATAATCTGGCTGGTCACAATAATCTGGCCACTCAGTGTATATTAAAAAAACACACAAAACTCAGTGATTTGAGTGTCTAGTCTGGTGCACAAAAATTCGTGCACTCAGGGGGGGCCCTCAGCCCAGCCTGTGTCCTCTTACAGTCCGGGACCCCTTGGGGGATGTCTGACTGACAGCTTAGGCCCGCTTCCCAGGGGATCAGGTCTAAGCTGGCAGTCAGATATCCTTCTGGCAGCCCAGGAGCCCTTGGGGGATGTCCAACTAATGGCTTAGGCCTGCTCCCTGCCGTTAGTTGGACATCCTTAGTGCTACCACGGAGGTGGGAGAGGCTCCCGCCACTGCTGCTGCACTGGCCAGCCATGAGCCAGCTTCTGGCTGAGTGGTCCTTCCCCTGTGGAAGTGCACTGACCACCAGGGGACAGCTCCTGCATTGAGACCCCTGGTGGTCATTGTGTGTCATAGCGACTGGTGGTCAGTGTGTGTCATAGCGATTGGTCGTTTTGCCGTTAGGATCAATTTGCATATTACCTTTTTATTATATAGGATTTTATTGATTTCAAAGAGGAAGGGAGAGGGAGAGTTAGAAACATCAATGATGAGAGAGAATTACTGATCTGCTGTCTCTTGCACGCCCCCTACTGGGAATTGAGTCCATAATCCAGGCATCTGTCTTTGACTGGAATCAGGACCCTTTAGTCTGCACACTAATGCTTTATCCACTGAGCCAAACCAGCTAGGGCTCACTGGGTGTTTTTTTTATTATTATTAAATATATTTCTTTATTGATTTCAGAGAGAAAGGGAGAAGGGGAGAGAGAGAGAGAAACATCAATGATGAGAATCGTTGATTGGCTGCCTCCAGCAGGTCCCCTACTGGGGATTGAACCCGAAACCCAGGCATGTGCCCTTGGCCGGAATCAACCCTGGAACTCTTCAGTCCGCAGGCCAGTGCTCTATCCACTGAGCCAAACCAGCTAGGGCTCACTGGTGTTTTATTGAACAATTATTTAAGTGGTATGAGCAGAAATCTATAACCATTACTTTACAATGGTATAGGTGGATTTTAACTTTGTAGATGTATCTGAACTATATATTGTTTTTCTTTTTGTACAAAATATATAAACAGATCAATAAGCACATGTTTTAAAAATAAATATAATTGATAATAGCTTATGTTTCTACTAAAATGCATTTGTGTAAAAGAATTATAATTTATCCAGAAAATAATTTAGAACTTCCCCAAATATCTAATTTAAATAAGAGGTAATACATTTTAGGAAACATCTTTTGTTTGTATGTAAATTTATTCACAGTGCTTTTTACAAGCACCTTCCATTCTAAAATACATCATTAATAAGCTATGAAAGGGAGACAAACTCCATGATGTCAGAATTTCTATATCAGGTTCTTTATTTATCAATCCCAACCTTTTATTTTTGCAAAATAAAAGTTAATAGTTTATGGCTCCTCCTACTTTTGTACAAAGTAAAAATTTTAATCATGATATGAATTTGTAAATTTTATACCTGAATTAACTTATAGCAAAATAATAGAAATTTTATGACACTGAGTTAACAGTCTTTCAATAAATACAAATTAAGAGCATATTCAATAATTTGGGAACATCTAATTATCCATACAATTCAGAATTAGACAGGGTAATGTCCTTGTTGGGTAATCATTCATATTCCTAAATTCCTCTGATTTTTTTTTTTTTTTAACAAGTCTCACCACCACAGGTTGAACAGCACCACAACAGAGCCTAGCAGAATGATGAGCACTCATGTTAGATATTGTCCAGCTGGGACTTCATTGGCATAACTATATTTTAAATGTCAACTTTAAGTGAGCCTTTTAAGAAACTACTGGTATACAAGTGAATCAAGGACAATAAACAGAACTTCAAAGGAAATCAAACACCGGCTTCTTGTAATTACATGGTGAGAAAAAGATTCAGAAATGAACATTTCAGTTTTAAAATAAAATGAGCTACAATCAGTATTTCAAACGTCCTATTACAACTTTAAGTGAATATTATTCAAAATAAAAATTCTTTCATAAACATTAAAGCCTATAATATAAAACTGGTAGCAGTTAATAGCTTCTTTTAGTCTTTTTATATAAGTAACCGATGAACCAATTATTTTCTCTTCTGCAAAGCCAAATAGTCTTTGAAATTGATTCCAGATTTAGCATTTTTAAAAATAATCGTTCAAACATATACAATATTATTTTAATATTTTTGAGGATTATAGGACTATGAAAGCCAAATTTTATATTCTTGCACTTTTTACTATTCAAAAGTCCAAAGACATTACAAAGTATTTTTCTTGCTAACCCATGTAAGAATTATAATGTGCAGAAAAGATGAGAGATTTTTTTTATGCAGGTAATAACTGTGCTTCAGACTGTAATTGCTTTTCAATTCATGTTATTTTCCCTCTAAAAAGAAAACAGAAGAAGAGAATCTTGTGAAACTAATAAGACATCCCAGGTCCTTTCAAAGGATTCCTTTTCATATAGGAACAAGCAAGCACACGATTGTGTGGGTGGGTATTTTTCCTTCAATCCTCTTCTTCTGGCAGACCAGGTGAAGTCAGTAAAAGAAGATCTATATTTGAAAAGCAAAGGAAAAAGAACATATCAGAATAAGAAATGCAATCCAGCACACTAATTTACCCATGCTTATTTTTTTCAAATAGACAGAGTTATGAAAATTTCATAATTTCAATAGAATAAAGGACAAAAACGCTTGATAATCTTAATAGACAAAGAAAAAAACAGTTAATAAAACCCAACACTCTTTCATGATAAAAACATTCAACACTAGGAATAGAAGGGAACCCCTTCAAATTGATAAAGACATCTACAAAGACCCATAGTTAACTTCACACTTAATAGTGAAAGACAGATTGCTTTCCATTTAAGATAAGGAATGAGACAAGGATGTCTGTTCTCACCACTTCTATTGAGCATTGTATGGGAGGTTCTAGTTAGGACTATTAGGCAAGGAAAAGAAATAAAATACATTTAGATTAGAAATGAAGAAAGAAGTAAAACTATTGCTATTTGCATATAACATGCTTGTACATAGCAAATCCTAAGGAACATAATGAATCAATAATTTAATTAAGGTTACAGGATATAAGATCAACAACCATAAATTAATCATATATCTACTAGAGGTCCGATTCGTGCACTGGTGGGGTCCCTCGGCATGGCCTGCGGGGATTGGGCCAAAACTGGCAGTCCCATGCCGCCTGCCACTTCAGCTCATCGGGCCCTGCTGTGCCTGCCTGCTATGCCAGCCGTGGGCTCGTGCCCAGTCAGTCCTGATCAGGAGAGGCTTGCGCTGCTATAGCAGCGCTCACCAGCCGTGAGCCCTATGTCTGGTGCCCTGTCAGGTCAGCTGAGTGGTGCTCCCACTGTGGGAGCACACTGACCACCAGGGGTCAGCTCCTGCATTGAGTGTCTTCCCCCTGGTGGTCAGTGTACATCATAGCAACTGGTCGACCGGTTGTGCATGGGTAGGGTCCCTAGGCCTGGCCGGTGATTAGGGCCTGCCGGGGCCTTCCTTTTCCCCGCTTCTGGCTGCCAGTCGGGGCCTTCCTTCATTTTGTGCTGCCCCCTGGTGGTCAGCACACGTCATAGCGAGCAGTCGAACAACTATCTGTGTATCTACAAATAAATACATCTAAGTTTAGTGACCTGTAAAGAGGCAAGGTAATATACAATTTGCATATTAGCCTTTTATTATATAGGATTAGCAATGAATAATTAAAAATGACATGAAGAAAATTTCATTTATAATACCAGCAAAAGAATAAAACACTTAGGAATAAATTAAACATCAGACGTATAAAACTTGCATTCTAAAAATTATAAAACAGCCCTAGTTGGTTTGGCTCAGTGGATAGAGCAATAGCCTGCGGACTGAGGGTGCTGGGTTCGACTCTGATCAAGGGCACATGCCTGGTTGCGGGCTCAATCCCCAGTAGGGGGCATGCAGGAGGCAGCTGATCATGATTCTCTCCCATTGAATTTTCTATCTCTCTCTCCCCCTCTCCCTTCCTCTCTGAAATCAATAAAAATATGTTAAAAAATAAAAATTATAAAACATTTTGTGGTGTTTTTTTAAAATGTTTTTATTGATTTTAGAGAGGGAGGAAGAAAGAGGGAGAAAGAGAAACATTGATTGGTTTCCTCCATTACCTACCTTGACCAGTGACTGAACCTGCAACCTGGGCATGTGCCCTGACTGGGAATCGAACCGGCAACCTTTCAGTGCACAGGACAATGCTCAACCAACTGAGCTATACCATCTAGGCATAAAACATTCTTGAAAGAAATTAAAGTAGATATGAATAAATGGGAATATATATGCCATGTTATAGATTTGAAAACTTAATTGCCAACATAACTATACTTGCCATATTTATATACAGATTCAACACAATCCCTATCCAAATCACAGCTGGCTCTTTGCAGACATTGACAAGCTGATCCTAACATTCACATGGAAATTCCAGGGAACCAGAATAATCAAAGCAGTCTTGAAGAACCACAAAGTTGGAGGATTCACAGTCTCAGCTTAAAAAATTACTACAGCCCAGCCAGAGTGGCTCAGTGGTTGACCTATGAACCAGGAGGTCATGGTTCAATTTCAGGTCAGGGCTTGATCCCTAGTAGGGGGCGCGCAGGAGGCAGTCAATTAACGATTCTCTCTCATCATTGATATTTCTATTTCTCTTTCCCTTTCCCCTCTCTGAAATCAATAAAAACATTTTTTTAAAAGAAAAATCATATTATCTAGCAAATTAACTCTTAGCCTTAGGTATATATCCAAGAGAATTGAAAATATATGTTTTGCACATATATTACAAATTTGCACATGAATGTTCATAGTAGAACTGTTCTTAATAGCCAAATAATGAGAACAATAGGTGACAGGATAAACAAAATATGATTTTTCTATATGATAAAATTTTATTGTCATTAAAAAAGAATTATGTACTGATACATGCTACTACATGGATTGACCTTGAAAACAGTATGGTAAGTGAAAGATGGTATTGTTCAAAATAAATAAAATATAAGTATTTATCAACAGAGTCAAGTTAAATAAATTAAGGCTGTCCATACAATGAAATACCAGTCATTCAAAACAACTATCTGTGTATCTACAAATAAATACATCTAAGTTTAGTGACCTGTAAAGAGGCAAGGTAATGAATACATTCCACATTTCATATGATACATACATATATATGATACATACATATATGTGTGTATGACATACACACACACACATACACACACACACACAATTTTTGTATACATAAAATGTTACTGTTGCCCTAATTGGTATGGCTCAGTTGGGTGGAGCATCGTCCCATGCACTGAAGAGTCAAGGGTTTGATTCTCGGTCAGGGCACATTCCCAGGTTGTGAATTCAATCCCCGGTCGGGGTGGGTACTGGAAGCAACCAATTGATGTTTCTCTCTCACATAGAGAGAAAAACATATCCTTGAGTGAGGATTAAAAAAATGTTACTGTTAGAGAAAAATGAGGAGTTATTCATCTCTTCCCTTCGTCTGTAAAATCAATAAAAACATATCCTTGAGTGAAGATTAAAAAAATGTTACTGTTAGAGAAAAATGAGGAGTAAATGTAAAGTTGAAAGCTCTAACACAATTTCAATATAAATAAAATATGAAACCAAAAAAACTCAAAGTCCCCTCCCAAAGTTCATTTTTCAGTGTAATGAGAAAAGTTATATGTGGTACTCATGCACATGCACTCCTCCCACCCCAACCCCAAATGAAGTGACATTTGATTAAAGTCTTGATTGAGTAGGAATAACTAAGTAAAGATAAGAAAAAGCCTATCCTAGATTCTAGACAGAGAAGATAATGTGTGAAGGCCCTGAAAAGGAACAGGACACCTTTGATAAACCCTCATAGCCATAGTGAGTCAGATAGAATTGGAGAGGTAGAGAAGTGCTTGATTGTGCAGTTTTATAGGTTACATTAAGAATTCTATTTCAAGATTTAGAGACAGAAGCATGGAACAGACTAATGAATCTCAGAGGGAAGGTGGGGGTTGATGGGTGGGTGAGGAGAGATTAACCAAATAATTTATATGCATAACCCATGGACACAGATAATAGTACAGTGAAGACTTGATGCAGGGGAGAGGGTGGAAGGGGTCGATGGGAAAAAAAAGGGGGACATCTGTAATACTTTCAACAATAAAGATACATTTTTTAAGAAAAACAATTCTAGCCCTGGCCTGCTTGGCTCAGTGAATGGAGCGTCGGCCTGCGGACTGGGGGGTCCCGGGTTCAATTCCGGCCGGGGGCACATGCCTGGGTTGTGGGCTCGATCCCCAGTGGGGGTGTGCAGGAGGCAGCCGATCGATGATTCTCTCTCATCATTGATGTTTCTATCTCTCTCTCCTCCCTTCCTCTCGGAAACCAATAAAGGAATATATTAAAAAAAAGAAAAAAAAAGAAAAGAAAAACAATTCTAGTCCTAGCTGGTTTGGCTCAGTGGATAGAGCCTGTGGACCAAAGGGTCCCGTGTTCAATTCCAGTCAAGGCATGTACCTTGGTTTCAGGTTCCTCCCGGCCCTGGCCCTGGCCTGGGCTCCTGCAGGAGGCAACCAATCGATGTGTTTCTCTCATATCAATATTTCCCTCTGTCTTTCCCTCTCTCTTTCACTCTCTCTAAAAATCAATGGAAAAATATCCTCGGTGAGGATTAGGGAAAAAAAAAGAATTTTATTTTATTTTATTTTTTAAAATATATTTTTATTGATTTCAGAGAGAAAGGGAGAGGGAGAGATAGCAACACCAATGATGAATGAATCATTGATTGAACTATCTCTTGCATGCCCCCTACTGGGGCTGGAGCCCTCAATCCCTTGACCAGAATCGAACCTGGGACCCTTCAGTCCACAGGCGATGGTCTAGCCACTGAGCCAAACCGGCTAAGGCAAAAATTCTATTTTAATCCTAAGAGTAATGAAAAATCACTAAAGGGTCTTAAGCTGTATGAAGCTATAATATGAGGAATAGATAAAAGAGGAGCAAAAGTGGATGTGAGGAGTTTGGTGCAAAGTAGACAGTAGTTAGGCTTCCTCTCTCTAAGAATGTACTCACATGAGGATTAAAAAAATAATAAAGAATTTTAGCAGGGAAAGGGAAGACTAGAGAAGACCAATCAGTGGATATGGAGAGAGGGGGTCAATATTCTGGAAAGCCTATTAGGTTGCAATAGTGGCAGTGGACTGAAAAATTTCAGAGGGAAGGTGGGGTGAGGAGTGGGAGGGGAGTGATTAACTGGGGAACTTATATGCATATACTGGTATGCATAGCCCATGGACACACACAATAGAGTGGTGAAGTCCTGGAAGGGGCAGGTACGGGGTGGAGAGGTTCAATGGGAAAAAACACACAAAGCAACAAAGGGGACATTTGTAATACTTTCAACAACAAACAAACAAAAAATACATCCAAGTAAAAAATGTTGAAGTACTTAATTAAGAATGATTGTTTTTTTTCAAGTCACCTAAAAAGCAATAAATACTCATTTGCTATTATATAAGAAC